TTTGAATTCAGAGCCGTGGTGGCACAGTGCTTAGAATTCAGTATTGCAGGCTAACTCACTGCTCACTGTCAGGAGTTCAATCCTGACCGGCTCAAGGTTGACTCAGCCTTCCATCCTTCCGAGGTTGATAAAATGAGGACCCAGATTGTTGGGGGCAATATGCTGACTTTTTAAACCACTTAGAGAGGGCTGTAAAGCACTATGAAGTGGTATATAAATCTATGTGCTACTGCTGTTGCCATTGCTATTCATTTTGCTCTTGAGTGATGCTGTAGTAATTGGAGTGCAGTGTAGAACTTGCAAAGGACCACTTAAGATTGGGGAGGTAGGTGCAGTGGTGGGATTCAGCCAGTTCGCACCAGTTCGGCAGAACCGGTAGCAAAAAAGTTTGTTGCCCAGGCCCAGAACGGACTTCTGGAAGCGGCATCCACACAGACAACCGGTTGTTCACATATTTGAATCCTACCACTGGGTAGGTGATGACCTTGGGCTCGAATGTAGCCTCTTTGTGCCTGCAATATTCTCTCCCTGCTTGGTTTTTAAAAGATATTTGGAATTAAAACAATCAAATATGAACTTGGCATGTTTCAAAGCCTTAGCATCTTGCAAAGCCCCACTATAAAGTTGAAGACATCTGGCAGTTAACTCACTTTCTAATCAATGGATGCTTTGCAGTTGGTCATTGTAAGCCATTTTGTGAGGGGATGCTCCACTTGCTAGATTAAGGGCTCTAAATCTTGGTCAAACTTGCCTAACTTTGTGAACCCAGACTACTGTCCTCCCCAATATATGTATTCAGCCTGAATCAGTCCATTGTGGATTGTAGTCTATCATGCTGGTCAGGTGTGAACTTTAATAGTAGTTAGCTTCCCACTATAGAGTTGAAAGACATTAACTGGCTTAAAATCTGCCAGCTGGTCTCTATGCCTCAGGAAGGACTAGAACTCAAGCTCTCCTTCCTACTATTAACTAGAACACCAAATCGGCACAATTACCAACACACAATTTTGTTTGTTTAACAAAACTTAAATTTGTCATTAAATTTGTTATGGTCATACACTCAAAAAGACTCTGGCAAAAGCTGGCAATGTGCATTTTTCTTACATGCTGCAATATGACGTATACTGTATACATGAAAGCTATTAGGGTAAATTTAATCCACAATTATGGCTGCAAAAAAATAGACGTGAGGTATAACTGATACATATAAATTGTACATATATTTATAATGGTATATATAATAAATAATCTATATACATATAACATTATACATATAAATTGCTAGCAGTTACTTCCAAATTTTGGAAAGGTCTGCACACACGCTATTTCATCTCCAGCAGCTGAGATCATATCATTTCCATCTGCTGTTGCTATTTATTCATGTGTTTGGTTAATATCCTGCTTTTCTGTCCCTACAGCGCTCAATATGATTTCAACTTTAATGAGTGGATTCCTTAAAGAAGCCACAACTTTATCAGAGTCTTCTTTCATGAGTAACAGTTGCAATAGCAGTAGCACCTAAATCTGAAGCATTGGGGGGGGGGGTTCATTTCAAAGGATGCAGAACAACTGCTATTTAGGCCATTGCTATTTAGGCTAATGTGATTGCAGCCTGGTGCTAATTGCAGCTACTCAAACAATGTGTTGGAGAAGTGAATAAGCAGGCACAGCTGGTGTTTTTTTTCTTAAAAAAAAGTATTAAAGACAAAAGCTAATAAGGGCCCTTGCCCTTAGATATTTATAGCATTTAATATCTGTATACGTATTTGCAGCCAGAATCAAGGATCTTGATAGTCTAAAACAGCTTAGATGCTAGCCTGAGAAGAATGATTTGGGAGGAATACTTATTGTGCACTAGCATTAATGTAGTAAAAAAAAAAAAAAAGATCAGGTCAACTGAATGGTGCTATTTGCTCCTTGCATTGTGCTCTATCAACCTATGAATTTCACCCATTCAATAGAAGCTACCGATTTGTCCCTTGTTGCCCTTGTCAGCCAAGCAGACGAGACAAGAATCAATTTTGTACCTGTGGGATGCGAGGCTACCAAGATTGTGTTGTCATAAAGCATCTTTTGTAATGCTAAAGAAGGTGACGTAGAAGGCCCTGCAGAGAAGAGGGTTCTAACCATTCAGCTACAGAACACTCTCGTCTTTTTTAGTGACGATGCCACACAATTTGCATTTTGGAATTTCATCTACCCCGAACTAATATTGTGTTTGCTATTTATTGTAAAGTTTCATTATGCTATATTACAGTGGTGGCGAACCTATGGCACGGGTGCCAGAGGCGGCACTCAGAGCCCTCTCTGTGGGCACGCGCGCCGTCGTCCCAGTCCTAGGCCTTCAGCTGGCTTTAGGCCTCCGCCGCCGTGTGCAAAAAAAAAAAAAAAGTTCAATCAGTCAATTTCAACTTCTCGCAAGAAAAAAAAAGATCTTGCAAAGTTGAAATTGATTGATTGAACTTTTTAGTCCCACCCAGTCTGTCATTACCACCGCAGCCACGCCCACCCAATGGGCTACACCCATCCAATGGGCCACACCCACCCAGCACTTGACGATGCATAAGTGGGTTTTGGGTTGCAGTTTGGGCACTTGGTCTCTAAAAGGTTCGCCATCACTGCTATATTAGCTGACTTCCAAATACATAGGAGGAGTGAAATGCAAAGCCAGCTGTCTGGGGCAGAAGGGATTGGGTTTCTGTTTCAGGTCTCCATTTCACAGAAAATATGATTTAGGTAAAGTCACAGGGCAGATGAAACAGTTAACTAATCTCCAGCTGTTACGTAGAAATACCTCTCTGTGCTTCCTCTCTTTTCTGCTGCCTTTTCTCAGATCAATAAAAGAGGTGGAGGCTTCAGATAGTGCTTACTCATAGGCTGATTTGTACGAATGAGTTGAATCACAACCACAGAAACCATCTACTGTATTAATGTCAGTTACTGTATGTTGTTTGCATGTTAATTGGCTAAAACTAGATTAGCATTAGTTATGAGAAACTTAAGTAGAACTGCAGCAGGCACCAAAAGCAGACAACATCATCAAACACACCCACCCACCCCAAAATGAAGCATGTCAAACGTGGTTATTATTTGAGTGGGAGGTCACCAAAAAATCTCAGAAATGTGGGGTAGAATGGTACCTCAAATATGCCAGAAAAAAAAGCAGAGTTCCTCACACATTAAAAATTCTCAGAACAGCCCTTCAGACTGCTGGAGGTAACCCATTCCACAATAAAGGGGCATTTTAAAAAAGCATATTACTCTATCCCCGACCCCATCTTCAGTCTTGCATAGGAAACATTCTCAGCCTACCCATTTGGGATGAATGAACCGGATGGTTGGTTCTACGTGAAGATTCCAAGAAGCCAGCTGTATGAGATGTAACTCTTGGGTAGATTTGGAAGATAGTCTCATGTTCAACACATTGTGGTAATATAGCTAAGAGGTTGTGTGGGTATGGGTAACAGCTTCCAGGACATCATGCTTCAGGAAGAGATGCAACTGGTACACCAGTGAAAACTAATCAAAGACCTTCCACACTATCTAGGAGGACCTCTAGGCAGATTTGCTATTTTAAGGTAGGCTTTCCAGTCCAGAATAATAAAATGCTAGATGACTTCTGGGCAACAGCACTTTAATCTTACAGGGATTCGATCTTGGAGTCTAGCAGCTTCCAGGCTCCAGGCCAGGACTTCCAATATATCTGTGTCATCCTGGGAAGTGATTTATAATTAAGCATGACTGTGATCCAATTAATGTCTTCCACATGGCTTTACATCAGTGCAAAATAATATGGGGGGAGAGAGATGAACCTTGAGGCACCCCACAAATGACCTCTTTTTCTCCCCTATTGCCACTGCCCACTCAGGAAGAAACAGAACAACTAAGAGCAGTGCCCCACCTTGCAAGTGATCCAGAATAATACTATGGGGGTAATGGTGCTTAAAACAATGCATGTTGTTCACCAGAGTAATCCAAACAATTTCCTCCTCTATCCTGGCAAGAATCCTGAGTGAAAAGATTCAGACAGTCAGGTTCCTCTAGCGCAAAATATACTTGGAGCTCTGCCACTATCTTGGCAACTTTCTGGAGACCCAGAAATAGTGATCAAGATTGGCGAGGAGAGTGCATCTTTGTATGTACTCAAATAGATATCCAATTATTAAAAGGAGGTTATATTACCTCATTATTGAAATTTCCAGGGAAATATAAAGATGCTTTCCCTCTTTAGATACATAGAAATCTATCTAGGAAAGCATTGGGTCCCCACATGTGCCCTTATACTCCAAAGGGTCTGTCCTAGCTACAATACAGTTGCATTGCAGCTGTATTATATACATGTACTTTAATATCAGTTGGATAACCAAAAACATGATTTACAAAGAAGCAAAAGCAATTTAATGTCAGTGGTTCAAAATATATACTAGTTTATTTCTAAATTCCTTAGCTAGAACTCCAGGAATTCCAATTGTTCCACCCTTTAAAGGAAAACAACCTTGATGTTTCCATCACAGACTGGCTAATGGACTTTGTACTCCTTTATCATTAAGAGGGTTTACTGAAAAATAAGGCTGTTTCGTGGATGGATTGATCCTGAATCTGAAGTAAAATCTCCTTTAATTCAAGCTCAATTCTTCTGTGTGGTTTTCCTGCTCACTATATGGGAGTGGTTTGTTTTTGTGGTCTTAAATAAGTGGGGGGGGAGGTTTAAAAAAAAATCAAATTCTTAATTGGATTTTCCTGGTGGTCTGTCATCCAAAAACTAACCAATTCTGACTGGCTTAGCTTGTGAAGATCAGCCAAGGCCATGAGATTAGAAAAAGGCCTAACCAAAATGTAAAATGATAATGTGTATTAAAGAAGAAATTGAAAACTTTGCTGAATTATTACTCTTTCCATTAGTAAATAGGTATTTAGGGACACATAGAGAAAAGAAGAAGTGAAGGAAAGAAGAGGACACGTTTCATATGCTATTGTTTTTCTTTCTTTTTCCCTTGCAGAAATGGAAGATGAAAGGTAGCTTCATCCAACATTTTGTCAGTGGCCTATGCTTAGAAAATGAGTCCAGCAGATTAGTGACCAACATCTGCCAGTCGGATATTCTGGGTCAACAGTGGGAGCTGCTCCAAGCCACATGATGGTTGCCCAGCATCTTTTGGTTCTGATACTTTTTGCATGAGAC